TTTTTAGTCATACCTACTAACTTCTACTACTCTATGTAAAAATAACGAAATAAAATACACCACGTGTTTTTGTATTATTATTCGCTTATAGCGAACCCTGGATATAACGAACCAGTTTTAGTTCATTTTTCAAGTTCGTTATATCCGGACTCAACTGTACTTAATTTAAAAAAATTGAAAACCATCAACGACCGGTTGGAAAATGTTGCGGATCCAACTTTAATAAAAATAGATTTAGGTAAACACGAAATGAAACAGGTTGATTGCCTTTTTGACAGTTAATTTGAGGCTCTGTGAAAAAGAGCTCTGTGAAAACATTTTTTTAATTCCTATCTACAAGTTTGCCATTGAACCTTTTCCGCTAGGAGATCATGTTTTTCCGCAAAATGCAAGCAATCGCTTTCAACCCCTAGACTGCATCCCCATTTCACCATTTCCAGTGTTTCCGCGTTTCAATTAAATTTTTTCTTAAAGTTGAAACTTCAGCAACATGTTTCACCTGGTCCTTGCCTGTTAATAACATTTTTCCAAAAAAGTACCTATTTGCACTAGGCTGACTTTCTTTTGGACAGAGTGTATAAAGTAATGTTGTTCTCTTTTGCAGAATGTGTTTGTAAACCCCCATATGCTCAAAGCTCACGAGCCGCTACTGCACCCTTGTTATTAATTGGGGTTTTATAAATTCGATTGTTTCGGCTTAATCTTGCAAATCCTTCCATAAGTGGCAGTCTGACCAAAAGTCATCAAGGTCAAAGCATCCGACCCCAATTAAAAATGACAAACCTTCAGACAAAAAACAACAGCAAAAACGCGTATCGTCCAAATCAGCTTTAATAACAAACCCGGTCAAACAACTAACCAACTGAATCCGACATTGAAAACATGTCGGTAACAAAAACCCAACCATGGTGCATACAAAAAAAATCAAAAACTTGTCAGACACAGTTGTTAACAACATCTCGAAGTACGGGGATCCGGCTACCTACATCTCTAAATAATCCGATCGATGCGACCAATCGTGGCTCGAAGCCAGCGGCGCGCGGAACAATCGATGTCGTCAACGGCCCAGCTGATTGGTCGATCGATAGGCCGGGAAGGTGGGGCGACGACATGACAGCCCTCCCCTGGAGATTTATGACGAGAAGGGGGAGGGCAATGAAAAATTGTCCCGCTGTTATTTATGTTCTGGTGTATTTTAGCATTCCACCAATAATTTTCGGGAAAATAGTAGTTTATTTGGCTGGTATGTGGCTGGTTTATTGATTTGATTGCTATTTATTGTGTTGGATTGACTTGTTTATGCAACGCAAAAGATTCGAAGATGGCTGCCTATACCTAATACAATTTCAAATTCCTGTTTGCTGCTAATGAGCTGCAATTAAAACGACACATTGATATCCAATTTTAATGCTAATAATCGTAATTAAATGCGGATCTTGATGACTTTAATTGATTGAAATTTAGAACTCATTACTTTTTTACGAGAATTTCCTTTTGTAGTGCGTATAACTACACTGCGCCGCAAATTAAACGCATAGTTTAAATATTCCCTGATTTTTGACTGCAAATATTTTCTCATTCCGTAATGGGGGATTTCAATAATTTTTTTATCGAACCATAGCACTATTTTTGAGCACAAATTTTGAAGATAATTTAAAAAAATCGAATAAACATATTCGACAGCGTCTATAATCTGCAACTGTGTGCAGACAACATTGGGAAGGTCAGTCAAAAAAGTATACGTGGTTATTTAATCGTCTGTTTATCCTGGGCCGTTCGAGAGATATTGATTTTTTATAACCAGTCGCAATTTCAGCGTTAATTTTATTTAGGTCCTAGTTTTCTTGATTTGCGATGAAAATTTCTGGCAAAAAGGGTGTGCGAACAACACTTCATTACGAATTGATGGCTGTGTTTATTTTATCACTTTCTGTGCTCTGTCAATTAAATTGATAATTTTTTATTTTCCTAAGGGTATACCTATATATTTTTTGCTTATCTTAGGTATAGGTAGGTATCTAACTTACATTTTGTCCAAGAACAGATACAAAGTTTTTGAGTTAAATATTTAATTATAGATTATTTCGATTTTTAGATTATTTAGTTCTTTTTTAGTATCTACTTATGCCTTCAAGCTATTTGACAGTGACGTCATTATTTGGGACGCCATATTGTAATTTACTCATGTTCGAGATTAGTTCGAGAGATTTTCTTTCATATTGTGTGTTTGCCAACTCGATCGTCTGTTTCCTCTGATTTCAAAATATTTATTTTTGTTCAACTTGATATTATTGTTAGAGCACAGTTTTACAGAAGTTTTTCAAACTTTCTGTATTTTCTATTGTTAATAAATTAAACATTCGTAATTAGTAGATATTGTTTGGCGCAACTCACATTTTAGAACAACAGTCGACAACATGGCATGTAATTTATTTGCAGTTGCAAAAGTAAGGTTAAATTTGCAGAATGTCAACAATAAGTTTGGAAACTGAAACACTTTCTTCAGTTTCGATATTCATTTGCCTCAATTGTGCAGAAAATTATGAAGAAAAATAAAAGAAAAAAATGAGGAACTCATGCACGATCATCTAAGCGATGGTCATAAAAATATGAGCAAAATGAACCGTTTTTCGCCCACGCAATATTGCTTAAACATTTTCGGTACCCAAAAATAAGACGCACACAAATAGAAAATGTATCGGTAAATTGAAGTGAAAACTTGGAAAAATTCACAATTTCTCTGTCTCTGAGGTCTCGCTCGGTGGACCAATAATAGAAAAAGAACGACAAACGGCATTTATTGCGTCACTGCCAAAAAGCTTGGGTCATACTATACCACAGCTTATACAGGGTGTTTGGTAAGTAGATGCATTTCGTGCAGGCGGTGATAGTGCAAGTAATTTTGGATATATTTCGTTAATATACCGTGTTCCAAAAACGCTTAGTTTCCGATCGACAGGGTGATAAAGTTTTAATAAACAAATTTTACTTGTTAATATTGCGTACACAGCTTGGAATATTTAAACGAAATTTTACAGGCCTGGGCTCTTAACAACAATACATGTTTTATTATGTTGTTTCTAGCATTTCCATTTTTCAAGGTTTTGTTCAATTTGAAGAACAAAAATTGTGCACTTGAATTGTATCAATTTTATTACAAAAAAAACGTAAAGAAAAGTTACTCATACATTAATTATCTACAGACGTGCCTGTGCCCACGCCACTGGCAAAGCTAGAAAAAAAATTTTCATCTCGAAACGAGACGAAACGAAAAAAAAAGTATTGCTGTTAAGTCCATAAAATTTCATTCAAATATTCTAAGGCGTTTCTGCAATAATAAAAAATTTCAATTTTTTAATTAAAGAGACTAAGAGTTTTCGGAATATGGTCTATGAAAGAAATATATCCAAAATTACGTTCATTACCACCTCCTAGAAGGAATGCATCTACTTACCAAATACTACAGTATTTCCATATTCCGGATTTCGCATTCTTAATGAATCACCCTGTATAAATAATTATCGAATCGATGGAAAAACAGTTTAATTATATGGCAAGGAAGACAATTTATTGCTAAAAATCGAACCAAATTGACAAGAAACCAATATACAGGGTGTCGCAATAAGGATGGTAAGCGGCTGTATCTTGGAAAGTATGTTTAGTAGAGTGATTGGAATAAAAATTTGATAACAAACTTGAAGGAAAAAATTTGCTGGAAATTATTTTGAAATTTCCCAGATGACCACTAGATGGCGTAATTGCAAATGGTATTTTAAAAAGTCGATTTTATACAGAAACTAGCTGACCCGGCAATCGTTGTATTGCCATATAAATTATTCCTAGGGTTTTTTTTCATCTCGAGTGGGCGGTTTGCCCACTAAAAAATGAACTAAACCGCAAAAACCGCATCTTAAAATAATTTCTGGAATCGATTTAATACTTGCAAATAATTCAAATTTGTTGGTTGCCTAATTCAAATAATTAAAGTCGGCTTTGGAAGAAAAAATGTTGCTTTATTTTTCCCACTATTTTCAAACTTACTAGATGTTTCACTCATAGGGACAATTCCTACTTTTATTATTTGAATTAGGCAACTGTTATTATTAATAAGTATTAAATCAGTTCCAGAAATAATTTTGAGATGCGGTTTTTGCGGTTTGGTTCATTTTTTTCTTTGCTTTCGAATGCGCGTAAAATAATTTGATTTAACATTTTTGTAAAAAATTAAAACAAAGAAATTTTTTCGAATAGCGAATTTTTCGAATATGAGTAAGATTGTTGTTATATGTAGAGTTTTTATTGCTCTTTCAATTGATAGTAAAAACTTTGAAATCGGTCAAGCCGTTTTGGAGTTAAATGTTTCTTTGAATTAAGCGGTTTGACTCTCCCTTAACGCTTTATTTGACGTTAGGAAAAATGTTCATATGGAAAGTAGTACGGTTTTTTATGAGCTTTTGACTAAACTTACTAGATGTTTCACTTATAGGGACAATTTCTGTATAAAATCGACTTTTTAAAATACCGTTTGCAATTACGCCATCTAGTGGTCATCTGAGAAATTTCAAAATAATTTTCAGCAAATTCTTTTCGTCAAGTTTGTTATGAAATTTTTTTTCCGATCACTCTACAACACATACTTTCCAATATACAGCACCTTACCATCCTTATTGCGACACCCTGTATATGTTCCTAAATAGATTGCAAAAAACCTGAATTCAATAATTGCAACAACCGATACTTTTGAGTCATCTGGTCTAACCGGGAATGTTTGCCCTTTTAAAACCGTTTAAAAACTCATTTTGTCCAATTCTCTCTTGACGTATCATACAATTACACTTTCCCACTGTCCAAAAAAATTGCAGATTTATAAAACAACTCAAAATATAAAGACCACGCAAACAAAAAAGAATTAAACCTAAACAGCAAATCGATAGGTGTTTGATTTTACGAAAAAGTAACGAAAATTTTGAGCAGGTGGCAAACGAAGGAGAGTCTCCACCAGCCACATCGAAGCCAAAATGAAAAAGTGGGATAGCATCAGAGTGTGCATTGGGGGATTGGGGACTTGGGGAGACACAGACTGGCGCGCGCGGCATTGGGGAATACACACAATCGATAAGCGACGCAATTATGATGAATAAAGGGGGAAAGCCAGCGTTGGGGAACTTGAAAGGAGGGCGCGGGGCGTAAATGCACCTTCGAGGGGCTTTTAGGGAGCGGAGAGAGAGCAGTGACTGATGGATTTGTAAAAGTCGTGCTGAAGGATGAGGGGGCAGGCAGCAGGTGCTTTAGCAGGGACTTTTCCGTTAATGCATGCCGTTTTTTCATTGGGGATTTTTGCGCTAATACCAACCTTTTCCTGTTGCATTTGCTGTTTCATCAAGATGGTTTTTTTCTTGTCTTTGCACCGTTTGTTTTGGAACCACACTCGGATCACTCGAGGACTCAGGCCGGTCATTTCCACTAGTTGTTCCTTCATTAGGGCGTCGGGGCGCGGGTTAGCTGCATAGCAAGTGCGTAGAGTGTGTAGCTGTTTTTCATTGAGAACAGTCCGAACTCTAGTTGGTTTACCATCACCTCCACCTCCACCTGAGACTCCGCCACTGCCTTTACTTCCTCGCAATGCTCCACCTTTGTGCGAACCACTCTCAGAACCCGAATCTGCAACAGGAATGTTTCCAATTAATATTGTAGGTCTGAAGAGACATTTTTTTCAATTAGCAAATGGTGTGTTCTTCCTCAAATAGATTGTGGCTATCAATTAATACGAAATTTAATTTAATACACGAACTGTTAATTTGTTACTTTCTCGAGTCTTTATTCACGTTTTTCGAAGAAAAAACCCGAATTTTATGTTCAGGTTTATTTGTCATTCCCACTTCCACATAAGCCAACCAACAGGCCTGTAGATTTTCTAGTTTCTTTCAGAGGCATTTTGGAAAATTTGTCCCCAACCTCCACTAGAACTCGCTTTGAGGTAATGAACTCAATGTTTACAGATTCCTCAATAAACGGCAAAATGCATCAAATGCAAGTTGCAGCTGGTTATTGAATCAACTTTTCCCTTTAAAGCCAGCTTAAAATCAACTGTCTAGCTGTTCCAGTTTCTTTGGCACGAATTTTTTAAATTAGCCTGCAAAATCGGCCTCTAACTGAGAATTCGAAATTCAAGTCAGATTATAATTTTTTTTTTAAGACTCTTTTACATTTACCTAATTTACCAATAGATTTACGAATCCTTCTAGATTGAAAACTTCAATTTGAGCTTGGAAAATCGCCAGGAAACCTCAAAAGCTCATAAGTTCGAATGGTCACCAGAAACAAAACCGTTTTTCCTTGATAAAGTTGTTTAAAAACTTACAATCTCCTCTCTACATGTTTTCATATGACGTGGGTTAGAAAGTTAGAAAACTAGAACTCAAAATCGAGCATCACCTTTAAACGATTGTGCAAATTCCCAAAAACGACTGATTAATCTAAAATTTCCTCCACAAATAAAATAGACAATTTTCTCTAAAATCGGGATAAAATAATCGTGATAGCTGATTTAGCTTTTTGAGGAGGTCCTTTGGAGAAATGTCCTGCCAATCTACTGAATCCGAAAATTTCAGGAAAAAGGCTTGAAAGTTCGTTAAAATATCCGTAAAACCTCCTTAAATTCAGAAAATCAACTGAGCATCAAATCAAAGGCACTTTTCGCTTTAAAATGAGCTAATGATCAAGTACTAGGTCTGCCTAGCTTTCCTTCAAACCTGCTTATTAAGCCTTGATAAACGCCTGATAAAGAATGAGAACATTTAGAGCGTAAAAAAAATCAATCCAGTTGTCCTAATCCACTAACGGAACAAACACATATTGTTACTGCAACTAACTCCAAATACTACCAAACCTTCCGGTAAATCACACACGAAAGGAAAATAAAATGTTGATTTTAGCGCTAACAATCGTGAATCGAAAAAACGTTTCAGACAAATTCAATCTGTCGCAGTAATTCAAACTTTATCTTTACGTATCATTTTATCTTGAAAATAAGCCAAAAGCCAACACTCTAGCTTTTCTAGTTTTTTTCAGAGGCATTTTGCAAAATTTGTCCACAACATTCACTTGAACTCTATTTCAGATAGTCAACTCAATAAACGAGAAAATTTAGAATCATATTCAAGGTTCGGGCTGTTTATTGCACTAATTTTTCTCTTTAAAAGGAGCTGAAAATCAACCTGTTCGAGTTTCATTGACACTCATTTTTGAAAATTAGCCTGCAAAATCTGCCTGTACCTGGGAACCGGAAATTCGAGATAGACTATGAAAATTCCCCAAATTTGAATAAAATTTACTACAAATTTCAAATTTCTGCCACATAACAAGCGAGATTTCTATAAAATTAGGGAGAAATCACACCTCTGTATCTGCTTACAATTTTTTGATGGAAGCTCGTGGGAAGAATAAACTGCGAAACAACTGCTACTGTCTAGCTTTGAAAATCGTAAAAAATCCTCAAAAGCGCCGGTTTATTTCAAATGGTCACCTCAAACAAAACGATGTTTTCTCGTTAAAATCGGTTAAAAATCAACAATTCCTTTACTGCGGTTTGCATCAGGTGTCGGTTGGAAAATATGACTCAAACTCGTGTTCCATATTTTAAATATTCTTCAAATCCCCGAAAAACCACTGGGAGTTTAAATTTTTTCTCCGCATATAAAGCAGACGATTCTCCACAAAAACGCTAAAAGCACTTTTAGAGCTAATTTGGCTTTCTGAGGAGCTTCTTTGGGCAATTGACCACCCAATATACCAAAAATTTCAAGGAAGACTCATTTAGGGAGAAAATTCATAAAACTTTCCCTAAATTTGAAAATGTTGCAACATATCAGACACCGCTATCGCTTTAAAGCGCCTTGATGAAGAGCTAAATAAACCATCGAAACGTCCGTTATTTTAAGAAAATAAAAGGAGTTTGAATTCACTCCCAAACCCGCTATCAGAACAGATAACTACTGAAAAGCCTTATTGAAACTCGAGACTTTTCCAAACATTTCGGAACATCATATATAAAAAAATATAAAAAATTGTTCATTTCTCTGCATACAAAAAACGAAAATTCTGTTTTTTTCCACAAAGACCAGGCCTTGCATATAACAGATATTGTTGGTAAACATGGACATTCAAACAATAGTATTTGTGCTTAAAATAAGAAAGAAACTCTGGCCATAATGAAACGAGCAAACATTTAAACGCCATTTTTAAATAACAATTAGCACTTCTTTTGTGACGATTGGACCACACCAACGCTGAGCCAGTGGTGCATCGGCTAGAGTGAATGGCCAAACATGAAAATCCATTTTCCATGATATTACGGGAACGAAAGCGGCTAAGTAGTATTTGAAAAAAATTCCATAACCAATTCAAACACCAAAGGCAAACACTAGATGTCCAGTTTCCTTTTCCCCGTGTTTGTTTTGCGGTCTCGGCTATTTACATTAAAGGCCCGACTAATCACGGCCTCTATGTGAGGTCTTCGATTGTAAAATTATCTACTTTTTACCATTGCCGCACTTGGGAAACATCAGAATTTTAATTAACGATTAAGCGCGATGATGGAAGGAAAAAGACAAATATTTTTTTTGACTTGAACGTTTAAGGCGCAATGTTTTTACTGTCTTGTACATATTGATCAGACATTTTTACATAAAAAAACGTTAGATTTAGTCAGATTTTTAAATTATAACAATGGTTTTCTTAGTCTAATTTTTGTGTGGTTTGGCATGACATTTGTTGATTGTCTTCCGCTAATCTTGACCTGGATTGTTTAGTAGATTTTCCGGCTACGTCATTCGCCCTTCGCTTAATGCTTTTTTATCTCTTCTTTACTCTTACTCTCCTTATAATTACTTTTATTCTATTCATCAAGTATCAATTTATCTGCTGGACGTATATGCTTCAAATTGCAGCAACTGTTTGCCAAAATCCCATTTAAACGAAACGAGATGTACGATCTTACTCCATGTCTAATTTCAAAATATTGGCTCATATGGAAAGCAGTTTGAACAAGTTTTCTGTACACTTCTGGAATCTCAATAATTAAATAATTACGATCATTTGGAACACTTTTTTAAAATGAATTTAATATTTCTTATATACCGCCTTTCAGTTTTTGATTATTTCTCTATCTAGAACCATTGACCATTTTTGCTCAATATTTTCATACGACTGGAAGCTACTTCAAATTCTTTAACGTAATTTCGTCCTCTATTCTTCATCTAAAATGTGTTTTATCTGACTTTGAAAGAGCCATTGTGCTATCATTTTTTCAACAGAGTATTTATTAATTTTTTACCAAACTGTATTCTTTTATCAAAAAATTCACATCTTCCAAACTCAAGCAAGTAGTGACTTGAAATACTCACCATTTTTAGAACACATTCGATTATAAAGAAGAAATAAGTTTCATAAATTTGTCCCAGAATTCAGATTTTTGCTAGCTTAGTAAATATCGGTCTCACCAAGGATGTTTTTACCTGACTGCTCTCTCTTCTTTACCAAATCGCATCTTCCACACTAACGCCAGAAATAATTTGAAAAGTTCAACATCTTTAGAAGAAGTCTGAGCCTAAAGTTGCTGAGAGTTTCATTAAAATCACAATACATCTTTAGTTTCACCAGGTTAGTAAATATCGCTTTCAAAATGGACGTTTCGAGACAATTGCGCTGTCTCCTTAAAATATTCGCACCTTACAAATTAAAGCAAGTAGCAATTGGGGATTTTCACTATCGTTAGAAGGTACTTGAATATATAATCATGCTGAAAGCTTCGTAAGAATCTCCCAAAATCCTGATTTTGGCCAGCTAAGTAAATATCGGCCTTGATATGGATATTCTATCTAATTCCACCCTCTCCTTAAAAAAATCGCATCTTCGAAAATAAAGCAGGTAGTCATTTGGAATTTTCTCCATCCGTAGAAGACACTTAACCATAAGTGTGCTGGAAGATTCTAAAAAATCGTCCATAATTCTGATTTTTGCTAGTTTAGAAAATCTGCGTTTCAAAATGAATGCTTTTATCCAACTGCACTCTTTCATCTAAGAACTTCCACCATCTATAGACAACATTTTACTATATATATATAGATGTTGAAGGTTTCATAAACATCACTGAAAATCCTGCGTTCCGACAGCTTACTAAAAATCGGTCTCAACATTGACGTTCTCACCAGCCGCAAGCTTTCTTTTAAAAATTAAAAAAAAAATAAATAAAAAAACAACTAAAGCCAGACAAGTTCAATTTTCAGATGAACCTTGGCTCTAAATCTGCTGAGCGTTTATGAAAATCACTAAGCATTTTGAATTTTGCCAGCCTGGTAAATATCGAACTCGAAATAGATGATTTTACCAAACTGCGCTCTCTTCTAAACTATCTAACTAAAACAAGGAGCGGCTGGAAAGTTTTCTCATCTTTAAAAGGCTATTGACTCTAAATATGCGAAAAGTTTCGTAACAATCACCGGGAATCCTGAATTTTGCCACCATAATACGGTCTCCAAATTAACATTTTAACGAACTGCTGTGTCGCCTTTGAAAAATCGCGTATTTCAAACTAAAGCCAGTAACAGTTCGAAATGTTCACCATCTTTAGAAGAACTTTGGCTCTAAAAATTCTCAACGTTGCAACTGAAGCAAGTACGCACTTGAAACTTTCACCATATATAGAAGGCATATTCCGCTAACGATGTTGAAAGTTTTATAATAATCGCTCAAATTTTGCGTTTCTCAGTTTAGTAAATATCGGTCAAAACGTGGATCTTTTACCTAACTGCGCTCTCTCTCTTGAAAATTCGCATCTTCCAAACTGAAGCCATCAAAAATTCGAAAATTTGACTGTCTTTAGAAGAACCTTCACTCTAAAAACGGTGAACATTTTATGAAAATCACCTGGAATCCTGAGTTTTGCCAGTCTAGTAAAAATCGATCTCAAAATTGATGAATTCACACAACTGCGCTCTTTGTTCTAAAAATTAGCATCTTTCAAAGTAAAGTAGGTAGCGGTACTGAAAAATCTGACGATCTTTAGAAGATCCGTGACTCTAAAGATGCTAAGAGTTTCATAAAAATCACTCGAAATCCCGAATTTTACCAACATTGTACACATCGGTTTCAAAATATAAATTTTTACCAACTGGGCCGAATCCTCAAAAACTGGCATCTTGCGAACTAAAGCAAGCAGAAGCTTGACATTTTCACCATCCTTAGAAGACATTTAATTATAAAGGTTCAACTTGGTAAAAATGTCCTCGAAATCCTGATTTTTCCCAGGTAAGTAAACATCAGCAATTCATTATTTTACCAAACTGCCCTCTTTCATTCAAAAATTTAAATCCAATCCAAGCTAAAGCTAACATGGGTAAGATCGCACAGAATCCTCCGTTTCGCCAACTTAGTAAATATCATGTCCAACGTTGAAATATTTAGAATCCCGAGTTTTGCCAGCTGAGTAAATATCGACTTCAATCATTTCACGCAAGTGCGTTATTTCTTCTTCAACTCAAACACGTTGAAAGTTTCATAGCAATCATCCAGAATCCCTAATTTTGCCCGCATTGTTCATATCGGTCTTAAAATATTTCTAAAATTCTACCAACTGCGCGCTTAAACCTTACTACTACTTAGGTACTACTGCTTGCACCTAAAGCAAGTAGAGACTCGAAATTTTCAACATTGTTAGAAGACGAAGAAGTTTAATTATAAAGATGCTGGCTGCTTGACAAAAATTGCCCAAAATCCCGCTCTTTGGAGTTAAGTAAATATCGGACTCAAAATAAATGCTTTAACCAATTCAAAAATTCAAATCTTCCATACTGCAGTAAGCAGAGACTTGAAAATTTGATGATCATTAGAAGACACTTGATTATAAATTTGCTGCAGGTTTCGTAAAAATACTCCAGAATCCTGATTTTTCCCAGCGTTGTAAATATCGGTCTCAAACTGATGTTTTCTTTCAACTCTGTTTTATTTAAAAATTGCAAACCGTCCAACCTGTGCAGTTAGCGACTTGAATTTTACACAAGTGCCTTTTGAAGACACTTGAGACGAAAAATGCTCGACTTCACCTTGAGTACAAAAGTTGCTCAAGGCAAATTGTTTGAGGCAAAACATCCAACCAAAAACTCTTGATAAAATGAATTCTCCCCATCCATATAAAACTCATCTACTACTCAATCCGCTTGCCCTCAAGTAGCTAATTTGAATTGCTTGGACTTTCCGGCATTTTTTAAGTAACCTCCCAAACTTTTTATTTTGAAACCTGTATAAAGATCTAATGCAAGGAACAAACGGTGTAAATTGGGACTGGTAAAACAAGTTAGCTACCCTAAAGCTACGTTCATGGTTGGTGGGTCGTCTAACCTAAATAGTTGAAGTGTTTGATCTCGTCCAAGCCGAACATCGAAGAAAGCAGCCAAGAGGCCGGCGATCGCTATTTACTGTGTCTTTATTTGGTTTAAAACCACGTCGAAGCCGGTCGTTTTACCAAATCAAATATTTACTCGTAGCAGGGCTTAACTTCAAAGGTTGCGTTTTTGTCGGTTATTTTTCCCATTCGTTCGTCCTTCAGGTATTATTTGATTAGATGATCGCAAACTATCTTGGGCGAGCAGGTGGCGACACTTGGCAAACGAATACATTGTCGCCGCCTTAAAGGATCTACCGTTAAATCCGGGACTTCTGAGGAATAATAATGGACTAATAAATGGCATGACATGCGCCCGATTACCCACACCCAAAACTCGAAACAATTGCTGCTACTGTTTTCGGTTTGGGTCTTTGATATAAAATGCACAAAGCGCCTTCCTGCCACGGTTTAATCCCGACTGGCCATCGCTTCACGCCCTGCTAATCGTTGCCTAATTCCGACGCTAATGGACGATGCGAATCATCCCCGTATGGATTATCTGGGTCCACCCTTGTACTCACATTAATAATTCAATCGCTCAGTAGGTACTTACCACTCATACATCCCAACTCCGTTGAATTACTATTGTGATTGTTATTGCTCAGACTTGTATTGTTGTTACTCTCCGTCGGCCCTGGATGTGGTGTGGTCGGCCCCGAGGCTCCTCCTCCACCTTTCTGACCCTCAATTACGTCATGGTCCTCCTTGCAGTAAAGCGCTCCTCCATCCCTCAAAGCAAACTCATCTCCGGGTACCAGCTGTCTCGCACACTGGCAGCATCGGAAACACTCAATGTGGTAGATTTTACTTTTGGCCCGCATCACAAAATCGGTTTTGCTAAATGAGCTGCCACATTTGTCGCATTTCGTGCCGAATAATCTGCAAAAGAAAGTAGA